CAACGAGTCGAGTCTCCAGACTGTGCTTCAAAAATATTCGCTTCTCTGCCTTCGCCCATGAGATGTTATCCAGCAGCACTGATATTTGAATCTTCTGGCTGTCTGGAATTGGTGTAAAGAAGTCGAGGAGGGTTCGAACTATCGTCAATTGTGGCATGCTCAGTAACTTGCAGAATGTGAAACCAATCAAGAGGAACCTACTGAGTTTAGCAGTCTTGGCCTTCGCAGTCGAAGACACGAAAGCTCTTGAGAGGTTAATGACTTCTGCGACACCTTGCGCGTTCCTTTTTAGATATTAGCTTATATGCATCAATGAAGGGCTCTACGAGACGTACTTCTGGTCTCTATACAGTTCACCAAGCTTCAGTAAGGCACTTTCTTGATGTCTCAATGCAGCATCCTTCTCCTGGGTAGTGACATCCTCTGCAACGGTTTGTCCTAATAAAAACGAATATTATTATATTTGTTTCACAACAGACTAAAACTGTACGTACCGAGTATTTGCTTGTACAAAACCTCTGCCTGTTTCGGGTTTGTCTTCGCCAGATCCTGTGCTTCCTTCAATACCTCTTCAGTTGTTGGCATTTCCGAAAATATTTAAAGGCAAGTGAGGAAAACTATGTTTAAGTCGATGTCGGGAGTAAAGGGATAAGAAACTGAGAGTGACTGACGCGTTCTACTGTCGTGCGAAAGAAGCGCCTGCAATTACGCGTCGAGATTCAGGCGCCTATGCGTACTTCCACTTAACTTTATCCTTCACTGTTCTCGATAACAACCACAACCTCTTAAACGACATCGAACTCCTAGTTAACGTGATGGCAGAAGATATTGTCTACCCTTATCCCAACATTGAACTTGCGCAACACTATTTTGTTCTGTCGGCCCCAAGTCTGTCTCATTTACACGAAAATGCAAGAAAGGAACTATTGAAAGGGATCCAAGCTGACCGTATGTTCTCAATTTTCAAAGATAAAATTGAGCTGACGAGTATATGCTATACTCTGACTCCGTACTATAGAAATGGCCCCCTACTATAAGCAGGTCACATCATCGGGCGCGCTTCCACTAGACTCTGATTTACTGGCCTCTATGGAGAAGGCAAACAAGGAAGAGCTCGATAAGCTTGAGGAGAGAAGGATAGAAGCTGAGAAAACAGAGGGAGAGACTGACATTGCGGACGCGCTGCGAGCTACTGCGAGTTATCTGACAAGGATAGGCGAGAAGGTAACATTGAATCCATCGTCATTTGAACGGGTCATATTGACTTGGGTCACCGTAGGAGAAAGCTATCGCGGCACACAAGGTTGCCTTGGAAAAGACACCAGGATTAGGACAACGGATAGACATCGTCCTTACTCTCATTCGAATTGGGTTGTTCTTTAGCGACCACGATATAATTTCTACCAATATCTCCAAAGCGGAAGAGTATGTCATTCAGATTCTATACGCATCCATGCTTTTCTGATTTCTTTCGACAGACTTGTTGATCAAGGAGGTGACTGGGACCGAAGAAATCGCCTGAAGGTCTACAGAGGCTTATACCTTCTCTCTATCCGTCAATTCCAACGTGGAGGCGAACTTCTTCTCGACGCGCTATCAACATTCACAGCGACAGAATTACTGTCATACAACGACTTCGTTGCGTTAACTATAATCTCAAATGTCTTGACTCTCAAGAGACCTGATTTGAAGAAGAAGGTATGTCTGTTGACTATAAAACTGGTTCCATAATTTCAATGATCGGGTCTTTAGATCATCGGCGCACCAGAAGTGAACCAAGTTCTCCCTGAATTACCTGTTCTTGCAGATCTTGTCAAGAATCTCTATGACGCTCATTACGATAAATTCTTCTTCGCCCTTGGTATGTGATCTCACGGTTGTTCTCATGCGGTAATTAATGTTCTTGTCGATAGCTACCCTCGAGCAAACATACCTTCTTCCCTCTCGCCTCCTTTCACCTCATACCCGATACTATGTACGAGAGATGAGAATCCTCGCATACGGCCAACTTCTAGAGTCCTATCGCAGCCTGACCCTAGATAGCATGGCTCGGTCATTTGGAGTTAGCATCGACTTCATTGACAAGTGTGTATTCTCCCTATGCCTGGTTCCATATTCGCATTGACTTACTGTCTTTCTTTCAGTGAACTCTCTCGATTCATTGCAGGCGGCCGCCTACATTGTACAATCGACAAAGTCAACGGTGTTGTGGAGACAAACCGACCCGCCATCAAGAATTCACAATACGAGACTGTCGTCAAGAAGGGTGATGTGCTGCTGAGTTCGGTGCAAAGACTAAGCAAAGTATTGCATTAGAGATTATGGAGCGGGACGAGTGGGACATTGCATTTGAGGGTTGTGAAAGTGCATTGTATGACGAAGTGTATCGTCTGTCTATCATTTTTGTTTCACTTGTATTCTATGATCATTTTACTCATTGTTCCTGTACCTAGCAGGGTATCAGCGAGGAGTATTCCATCGTGCTTGGAACATTAGTCATTGCGATAAAAGCCTTGGAAACTTTGAGATAGGTTCGGTCCACGTAGATCTGATGAGTCTGAATCGACACCCCGAGCTGCAAAAACGACAGTCAGACCTCTCACGATTTTGGCTATGTTGGAATACTCCGAGACGGAGAGAAGAATGTGTAATTGACCATACTGTATACCGCCGGCAATCATCTGGTCATACACTTCATCGACGGAGTTGCTCTCATTCTCCAACACTCTACCTTCCATCATGGCTCAAAGCCTAACCATTGCTTTGCTGGGACGCAGATAGATGGAGCAGGTGGTTTTGTGGTTCGAAGTCATCATAATGTTCCACTTTTCAAGACCAGAGTGCGTTTAGACTTGAACGGCAACACAAGCCTGAATATGCATTGTCGAGTCCATCTCATTTTCATATCAACTGTCATTTTGTGCATCTCAAATGTCTTACATATTATCCCGATTTTTAGGAATTCTAACAAAGGAACAGGGCATATCTCCCTTTCCCTACTTCCCTTGCACATCGCCGATATGCGCGCATATTTCCAATACAAAGATCTTTCGGTGTGACTTTCATCATCAAACCCATCTACGGTATCGGACGGTGATATAACTTATACAAAGTGAATGCATTGCGCATGCAGCCTTTCGACCGAACTCGCATCGTTTACGAAAGGATATCAAGAAGGGGAATGCGGATGTGATATTACTTGAAATTCCAGCCCTGCTCATTCTGTTATCAACAGAACTGAGCTGAACATATGTTCCCCACCAAAATGCCTCTTTAGCCATTTCTCTCCTCACATCCCCCTTCGCCCTACCTCTGGCCAAAAGGAAACATGGCGAATCTTGACGTCGACTATGCAATTCATATCAACTGCACGGGTTTCAGAGATTCCTTAATAATTGGTCAAATCTTTGCTTTATTCTTCGCAGCCGTATTCTATGGTATCTTCCTTGTTACTTTCGGGATTCTCGTCCATGCCGTATTTTCCTGTAATCATGGTCGACGAAGAAAACGAGAGCAGCATCGACTCCCTCGCGGAAGCGAACCAAGCAAAGTGTGGTTAATTCCGAACCTTTTAATCTTCACGCTTGTTACGGTGGATATGGCTGCAACTGTAGGCAGGCATCTAGAAGCTTTCGTTTTCAGAGTGAATATAGGAGGTCCTGCGTGGATTTTCATGGATGAGAGGCGATGGGGGAGCGTGCTACATGTATGTCCTTTTCTTCAACTTGATATTTCAAGTAATCATTTTCGATTCCTCTAATATATAAAGCCTTGTTCTAGGTTTGCTGTGCTACTCTTTTGAGTCTAGTTGGAGAAGCATGTTTCGCGAGTAACTTTCACTAATTTTTAAACATTGCTTCTCTTGGTACTCACCAAACTTTTCCTGAGTGCAGATTTTTCGATGTTTTGTCATCTTCGGATACAGCTGGGCAATAATCATCGTTCCAAGTTTGATTTGGTTGTTGAACATGGCATCCATCATACTTTTCGTTTACAAATTAGTCACAGTCGTGCCTCCAGCAACGTTGTCTGCACCACCATTCAGACCATTTCTTGGGACCTTTCTCTGTTCAAGTACGACTACTGTCATGATAACTACTGGTGAATACCTTGTTCGATATAATCTCTACAACTATATGATTTGCTAATCAATACCTCAAGGTTTAATGGCTTATCGAGTGTGGACTGTGACCCGAGACACAGCATCATATACCGGAGTATCTCTTCGACACAATATTCTTTGGAGGATCAACCGAATCATCCTGGAGTCTGGCTTTTTAGCAAGCTTTTCCACTTTAGCGTGTCTGATCGCTTATTTCGTAAGTGATGCTGTGCTATACGCACTTGCGGACTCGGTGAGCAAACCTCTCTTCAAATAGCTAAAGAAATCACATGTTTAAACTTTTCGCGTTGTTGCATAGGCTGTTCCAGTATACGCAATCGCGTTCAACTTGATTATCATTCGTGTCAGACAACGCATGGGAGACCAAAAAATGTCCCCTAGTATATTCTCAACGGTGCCTGTCGTCCCCTATTCAAATGCCACATCGAATTCAACTTCAGTACAGCTGACAATACCACATATGTCATTACCTACTCCATCAATTTCTAAACCTTTTGAGCGAGGGCATCTGGACTTGGACTTGGACTTGGACAGCTGTCGATTGTCTGACTTGCCTGCTGGACTGAATGAAGTGCAGGAGCCTGACAGGTATCGTGACAAGATCAATTCACCAGTATAGTTCTTACACATACATACCTTAAAACCAAATTTAGGCTGATATATTTTGTGTAATAGTACTCTCATTCTGTATTACGAAAGTGCTTGACTAGTGCAAGGAAAATCCCAGATTATAGATAATAAAGTGCTCTTCATTGGATGTGCTTGCCAAAAAATCAACCTGAGGATAATCATCGATACATGCACTGACTTGAGTCGAAGGAAGGGAATGACTATGTGTTAGTGTTACTGACTGTTTTTGCATCGGAGGCGAAAGCAAGCCGGGATAGCTCAGCTGGGAGAGCGACAGACTGAAGTCTACTGTTGTAGGCAATGTTCTGCAGGTCAGGTGTTCAATCCACCTTCCTGGCATTTGCACATGTTTTATTAGTTTGCTTTTGAAAAATTGGAAAAAAGATGTATGGGTCCATATGTCCATATGTATCCTTTATCGGTTGAGGACGGGCGCCCCCTTCGGTCTTTGCCGAACTCAGTCGTAATTTGAAACGCCTGGCAGGTCTTGGCCACCTCAGCTGCACTACAATCACCATGTCCGAGACCATTGATCTCTCAAAAGACACATGTTTAAAGCTCGATGCAGCAGGCGGCAATGATGAAGTCCTTCGTTCACGCCCAATATTGCAGGTTGTCAGCATCAAAACACACAGCACACCTCAGGAGAGATTCACACTCATACTCTCCGATGGCTCATACTATACGCAAAGTATGCTCGACACTTCGATAAACAATCTCATTCATGATCATGCAGTACAAAAGTACAGTATCATCCAAGTGGAAAGTATGATCAAGGTCAAGGTGAGGGACAAATGGTTCGTAACGTCTAATCCATGTTGCTCGAACGTGAGATGACAATTTCGCGCGATATAGGATTCTCCTCCTCAATAATATCAGTGTAGTCTCCAACGCGAAAGAGAAGATCGGCTTCCCTCAAGCCCCTCCTAAGGCAGCCAAAAACACCCTTCAATCACCCCAAGGCGACAAACTTGAGCAGCAGCCTACGGTGGAATCATCGCACGCACATCAATCTGTCAAAGTTGATGATAATGGTGTACAAAAGCCTCAAGTCCCCCGAAAGTCCCTCGCGGCTCCTGATTTCTATCCATCGCAACCGCAGACTTCGTCGCAGACAGAAATGGAGTCACCGCCCTATGTACCAACGCAATACACGCAGGATCATCAACAAACTAATAGTTTGGCGCACACGACGAATGCACCACCTCAATCGAGCAGTACATCAACCTCTGTTCCACCCACCACTCCATCTCATCAACCCGAAGAACGACAGACCACACCGATTCAGTTTTTGAACCCCTATCTACCTTCATGGACGATCAAAGCCAAAGTTACCTCTCTGACAAACCCCCAATCTTCGAATAAGCCAGGTAGCCGATTCGCAGGCAAATTTTTCAAAGTCACATTTGCAGATTCTTCTGGCTCTATCCGTTGCGTTTGTTTTGATGAGGAGGTTCATGGACAACTTCAAGAACAGAAAACCTACTATGTTTCAAATGCGATAATCAAAGCAGCTAATCGGCAATATAATGCTGATCCATATGAATTAACGTTGAACAAAAGGACTGTCATTGAAGAGGTGAGTCTGAACTATGGGTGTATCCCATGATCACTTGCTCACGAACAAGATTGCAGTGCATGGATGTGTGTGTTGAAAGACCCGAATTTATGCAACTGTCTGACTTGTACAATCGAGATCTAAACTCAACTTCTGGTGGGTCTGAACTCTTGTTGATCTGATCAGGCGTCGACTGATACGGTTTTCAGACGTTATCGCCATCGTCACAGACACCTCTTCTACCGAAGTCACCTTAGCAGGTAGGAAGGCAAGTATATACATTAAAAGATCTATGTGCTGGTACTCTGTTTCTGATAACCTCCTTCTTATAGACACAGAAACGAGAGCTCACAATCACCGACCGATCACACAGTTATGTAACTGTAGCAATCTGGGGAATGCGTGGCCAACAATATGCAACGATAAGTGACAACCCTACAATCATACTGCGGGACATCAGGATCGGCCCCGTGTATCAAGGCAAGTTCAAACGTAACGTAGACATTGGTGACAGTCGACTTATTATATATGTTGGATTTAGGCGTTCGCAGTCTGACGGCCACAAATAATACCCATATCGAGGTCAACCCGGATACAGCTGAAGCTCATGAATTGAAACAGTGGTTCCAAGAGCAGATCGATCGTGGAAATCCACCTCTCCCTCCATCTACGTCCACTGTTTCAGTCAATATGGTCGATGCCGCATCTGCACTGGCAGGTTCGTCACCAAACTCCGTTCTCCTCAACGACATCAAACAGTCCGGTATTGGGGAATCGATGCATAAAGTTCACATCGCGACTAGGGCTTCAATACATTACATTCCTACCGATGGCACGGATTCGTTCACTTATCCTTCTTGCTCGGAGACTTGCGGTAAGAAAGTGAAGCTTGTGAATGGTGAAACAGGCCCGATGTGGAGATGTGATAAATGCGAGAAAGACGTAACCAGACCTCGCTATCGGTATGCATCTCGACTTTGATGTATTGTTGTGTCTGTTCTGACCAACTCGAAGATATCGTCTGGGTCGAATTTACCTTCGAGATTCGTCTGGTCAACTTGTAGTATCTGCGTTTGATTCTGTCGGAGAAACCTTGTTTGGTATTTCTGCGGATGATCTCCTCCAGTTACAGGTAGGTCATCCACACCAAAAACCTGGCTCGCAATGACTGCTGATTACCTGGTTGAAGGCGACAGATGAGCAACGATATAAAGAGATTGTCAAAAGGCCTATTGGCAAAATGTACAACTTCTCTCTCGACGCCAATTTGAGTACGTTCAACGTAAGTCCACTCCTTTATTAATCCGGTGTTTTCGACGGTGTTGACTTCACCTCCAGAATCGAACACAATATACAATTCAGAACCTTTCTCCTCCCGATTGGAAAGCAGAGGCCCATCATCAGATGAACATTCTCATGTCATCGTGGGCCCAACAGGCAGTTATTGTTTGAGAATGTTGGATTTCAGTCGGTGTAAAGGTTGTGTAAGATGAAGAGATACAATTGCTCGCTACTCGTTATACTGTTGATCTACGTGTACATGTACATGATACTGGATATAAGAATGTGTAAGATGGATATAGGCATACATTTGAGTCATGGAATGAGAATGCTAATTGACATAGAAATAGAATGATAGAGCAACAAGGAAAGCGAGAATTGTGGAAGGAAAGCAGGATGAATGACATAGCAACTCTCGACATGCATGGAATGGCGGATGGTGACACCGCTGATGGACAAAAGGCAATGGTCAATGAGAGTCAAATGGTGGTGAGACAATGCGCACCTTTTTGACATTACGCCGCTATTTTCTCATTGTTGCACGAGGGCGTCGGGATCCTCGGGGTTGAAAGTACTGCCCAAAGGCGTGGGTGGTACAACGGTGATCGTGATCTCTTCATCGCTGTGATTAACGGGGATCCCTCCGCTGAGGATTATGGCAGTCTGAGACTGTGGGGAAATCGCTCAGTTACAGGATGAAGAAATAGAACAAAGAGTTTTAACATACCTCGAGGTCAAGGCCAGAGATTTTGCAGAAGGCTACGGTAGACATTTTTGGATATGATAGTTGAGAGACTAAACGGTATCGAAATGCGGCGGTCGGCACGGTAGATGTCTAAGGCGTTGAGGGACGGTGAAGAGGTAGTGGCAGACACTGTTGAGAAGGCTAAGGCGCGGTTTGACCTCCGTTATATACCTCGAGAGTTTCGGAGGCCACGTCGGTAAATTACAATACCCCACTAAGCGAGTCTCGGAAACCATTCCGCCCCCTATTTTGGATTTTCATACATCCACCGTTACGTCTCTAAGTCAACGTTGGCGAGATTCTTCGGCGGGTTCGCTTATAGAAAGAGGGTATGGCCACAAATGTTAAGCGACTTTATCGATGAACCAGTATAGGAGGCAAAACATAAAGGCAAGACTAGTTGAAATAAGAACGATATGGCGCACTATAAGCAGAGCATTTACTCATAACTACTAGTTACTTACCATACACCGGTTCAAATCGAGTTTTGTAGCTGTACTCAATGTATGTTTTTGAATCTACACTTTGACCTTGCGACTTTTGAGTATCATGAATTATGTCGTCAAGTACATATTACTTACAATCATTTTGCATGAATTTTTGGCCCTTTAGGCGTAGGTCGCGTCGCCCAAAAGCCTTTGTCCAAAGTGGATATGTACGGAGATCAAAGCGTTGAGGATACACGTGTTGGCGACGATCAGGTACATAATCTCGGTTGTTGGGTCTAGACTGGCGGCCCAAGACTTTTACGGAGCAACCAATAGGAATATTTTGTTTTTTCATCGAATATCAGCGAATATCCCCGAATTCCGACAGCAACGGAAGTGGCCACCACCAAAAACTTCTACGAAGGATGAATCCACGGATGGGGCAGAAATGATAGTATCATCATTAGAAAAAATATACAGTATACTCTACAACAACAGTGAAAGTGGCAAGATATACATGAAGGAGATACAGTGAGAGAGGTGCGATAGTGCACGACAATACTTAGAACCAGAATGTGGGTTGGGCTGTACTGAGGAGGGAAGGGTCCGAACTAATATGGAATAACACATCGGTTACTATGGATTCGTCATTGAAGAAAGCCAAGGAGCTAAGTACGTACATATCTGATTTACTAGATGAGCCAGTCGGGTATTCAGATAGAGGCCAGCTGAAGAGCATGAACACCACGATTGGTATAGATATCGGTTGAGTGAGGATAAACACTTACAGCCCAGCGCTGGGAGCGATTGAGCGATTGTGTTGCTTTCGGACAGAGCTGCGGTCCGAATTGCAATCTGAGGTCACCGGTTGCGAAATGATACTCAGTCTAAGAGAGCTGTTGGCCGTACGGTCAACACGGGTCGAGGATGATTTATTAGCAATATCTATAGGTTTGTGGTCAAGATGATCCTCGGAAGGATTGCGACCCCTCTCCGTATGGAAGTGTTGTTTCTTGAAATGATAGGGAGGCGGAGAAAGACCTGTGTTCGGGTTATGTTCTGCCTTCAATTGTTGTGTACTGCCAGACCTGAAGGATGATGTCGATGACGATGACAACGAGGCAGAGCGAGTCGATGAGCGAGTCGATGGGGATGAAGCCGCCGTAGAAGATCCCGATGTTGAACTGTCTGCATCGAGTTGCGCAAGAGATTCTGTAAGAAGACCGAATGGCTTGATTTGGCGTCCGAACATTGAGGTCTGAGAACCGAAAAGTGCGCAACCAGTGAGTTCAGACTCGAGTACGGTAGAAGGAACTGACGGAGGCCA